CTCCAGGAAAGGCGCAAAGCTACGCAGAGAAAACCCTGTCTCGAAAAACAAAAACAAACAAACAAACAAACAACCAAAACACTGATTGCAATACTCTTAAGCATTTTGAGGGCTACTAATTCAACAGGAACCACCAGTGATATTTTTATTGTGACATTTGCACTTTTCTGGGCACAGCTTGTTAATTATATACAAGGAATACAGCACACCATTGTGTAAGTTAGGCAATAGGCTGCTACACCAGTAACCATTCTTACATGTTGATTTCCTGCCCTTTAGTGCTCTGAATTATATTGCAGGCTTTAAAGAAGATAACATTTCAATTATTTTGTGTGTGGGCATGCATGTGCCATAGCACACACAGGAAGGCCAGAAGACAGCTTAAGGGAGTCAGTTCTTTCCTTTTCCCATGTGGGTCTGGGGAGTCATGGCTTCTCAGCAGGTACCTTTGACCCACTGGACCATCTCGCCAGCTCTCTTGTAGGATGCTTTACCTGGTTACTCCGCTAAAGAACCAGAAGAAAGGACACCGTTTGACCAGCCCTTATTTGACTTCTCTAGGTCCCCCTGCCCTCCCTTAGTTTACAGAGGCACAGTGGCCTTTTGTTCTTCTGAAGGTCTTGTTACTTTTCATCAACAACTGAGAGGTGGTATTTTCCTGTCTGGCTTATTTCACGTACTACAATGAATGCTAGTTCCCCAAATGTTGCTGCAACAGACAGGACTCCACTTTTAACAGCTGAATGATGCGCCACGGCACTTCTATTTCTTTGTGATGACACTCATTGGAACAGGTGTGTGTCCTTGGGATCTGTGGTTTGCATTGCTTCACTAGTGAGGCTGAAAAGCTTTTTATATGCTTGTTGACTATGCAGAGAAGTCATATTTCCATCCTACTTTGATTTTTTCTTTATAATCTGGACATTAAGATCTTAAGTGAAGTTTGTACTTTCATACTACATGGTTTCCTCGGATTTCCTCTGCCACACAGCTTTTTAGCAGAATGTGATTTCATCTATTTGTGCCTTTTGCATCTTATTCACAAAATCATAGACACACCGAAGTGTTCCCTCTATATTTCCTTACAGTAATTACAAAATTTGAGGCTTTACCTTTACATTTTTAATTGACTTGTGTTTGGAAAAAGGAAACGATAGAATTCTCTACTTCTGCATGTGTGTCCAATTTTACTAGGTTTTACTGGAGACACTCTGCTCTCCACTCTATGTTCTTCGAGTCTTCGTTGAAAATTAACTGTCCACATCTGAGGACAGTTTAATTTCAGGGTGCTCTCTTCCACCGACCTACTAGTTTTGTTGGTATGATGCTATTTTTGTTACTATGATTTTATAGTATATTTTGAAGTCAGGTTTTGTGGTATTTTCTAGTTTTCTTCTTTCTCTCATCACTTTGGCTATTTTTTTCATTTTGATATAGATTTTTACTTCTATTTTAGGATTTTTACTTCTATTTCTGTAATGAAGTCTTTGTATTCAGACAGGACAGCTACTATCACATATGAAATTACAATTTACTCAATAATTCTTATCACAGATGAGTTATTAGCATAGTAATTAGAATTAGAATATACTCTGGTTAATTAAAATACATGTGTACACCTGTGGGTGAAACCATGCTCTAAGCTATGGACATGGCGAGAATTATAAAGACATGGCTGGGGTGCGGTGAGAACCAGCGCCTAGCAAGGCTGAAATCCCGGTTACTAGCTCTGGGCTGAAGAAATAGGAAAGGCTGAGCCAGTGATCAAAGTTACAAAGGACATGGCTGCCTTTCTCAAGATGGCTACAAACAGGACAATGACTTGTTTCAAATTAAGATATTTTAAGCTTGATAAAAACAAGATGAATTTTAAAATGCTCTTCTTCTTCGTAGTAAAATACTTCTTTTATTTTGTACTTAAGTCAATACAGGGTAAACTAAATTTCCCAAGTCTTGATATGGTGATCTAGATTATGGGCCTTTTATCACAGTATTGAGTGATCTGAGAAAGTGACTGGCTAAGGTATAAACAAATCCCAAGACAGTATCTTCAATTAATACCCAGTGTTTACGGCAAACCACATGAAATATTGCTGTTAAATATGTGAAAAACACACATGGTCGACTCACTTTCCACCCATGACCAATGCAAAGCCAGATGTTTTATAAATTGTCTTTCTAAGCACACTGACATTCAACTATGATGTGTGTATACATTTTTTATTTTTAACCTAATGACCTGGAATAAATACTTCCATATACAGAATTCTTTGCTGGTTAATTGGCTCCCAAACCACTTTCTAGTTAATGCTACTAACATTTGCTGATATTGCCACAGAGAATTTGGCATTTCTCCTTAATTTTCCTTTTTCTTGGTCATTGACATATAATATGCAATTAATCAGTTACTTATAGCTAAAACAAGCATTTACTCACCTTTCCCCAAGTCTGTACCTACAGTTATTTTATAAAAATACCTATCCAAATGAAATCTTCAGAAAAGCAGCTGTTTGTGGAAGAGCACTGTTTATAGTTCAACTAGCTCATGGTGGCTAACAAGGAGGTCAAGCATTTCCAGGGGGACATGCTCGTAGGTGATGCACAAAGTCGATGCAATCGGGTGGCTGGCACAGTATTTCTGGGTCAGATACTGAAAAGCCAGTTTTGCTTTCAGCCACGTTCTGGGTCATGACCTTCCCAACAAATCTACCCAGTTATTTGCAAAGGAGCTCTGACAGAACCTTAGAGAACTACAGTTTGTAGCTGGGTGCGCACATGTGCCAAGCCTGTGGTAGCCAGAGCTTGAGGCCAGGGGTTTTCCTCCCTTGCTCTTGATTACTTTTGAGACCCGGTCTCCCACTGGACTTTCACTCACTAATTCAGCTGGACGGGCTGGCCAGCAAGCTCCAGGGTTCTGCCAGCACCAAGATTACAGGTGTACACCAAAGCACCAAGGTTTTTACATGGTGCTAGGAATCTGAACTCCTCGTTTGTGTGGCACTTTACTGACTGAGCCATCTCTCTAGCTTTTTTTTTTTTTTTTTAATAATTTGAGTGTTTTGCCTGCAGATGTGTGTGTGTGTACACATGCGCTGGTGTCCAAAGAGGTCAAAGGAAGTACTGAACGCCCTGGAACTGGAACTGCACAGTTGTGAGCTGCTTCATGGGTGCTAGGAATCGAACCCAGGCTCCTCTAGAATCGCAGAGCTAAGCCATCTCTCCAGCCTCTGGTCTTGGGATTTTAAAAAGTATCACATGCAGCCCTGGCCTAGACCTAACTGGCTTTGAACTCATGGCAACCTCCAGCCTTGGTGAGTGCTGGGATTATAGGCCAAACACTACTATGCCTGGCCAATCCAGTGTTTAAAAAAAAATGATTCAAGCAAGTGAATCATAACATTTTCATGCATGATCAAAACTGCAGTATTTTACTTTGGTCTAAATTTACTACAAAATACAAGCTTATTCACTAAACAAATTTGGGTGTATTTTCAGGATTTCAGGATGTGTAATGTAGGATGCTATCAGAAAGAGTTGCTTCTCACTTTCAGAATTAACATTGTTGGGTATTTTGGAACATTCAAGATGCATCCTCTCCCACTTTGTACTATTTCCAGGTCAGGATGGAATGACCCTGACCTAATTTGGACACTTACCTGGCTTTGCAGGCAGACTTAAAAGGACCAAGAGTAGACTGCCACACACTGCTGCACTGTCCTCTTGTTAAATCCTTGGCTGTTATGTATCATCAAAGACTGTCCCATAAGAAACAGTGTGTCTTTGAAACAACTGTACACCCAAGAAATTCCTACTGCAAGAACTGTGGGAAAACAACTAATTTAAACTTTAGAATAATTATTACACAACCACCTCATTTGGTCTATGTAACCTGTTTTAAAATCTTGTGTGTCTATGGACAGGCACATGCATGCCACAGCATGCCTGTTTAGGTCAGAGGACAGCCCTGGACATTTGTTTTCACCTTCTGCTTTGTTTTGAGACAGGGTCCTTGGCTTCCAATCTCACACAGGAATTACATAAGTACACTAGCACCTCATCTGGCTTTAGCCGGCCTCTCAGATCCTGACGCTTGCATGGCTAAGTGTTTTACCCATGAGCCATCTCCCCAGGCCCTAGAATAATATACCCTTGAATAAAAAGGTATTAACAACCCAGGTGCCCCCAATACAGTCTGACTGGCTGTACACAGCTTGCCCCGCAGAATCTGCTCTGGTATGCTAGAGTAAGCTGCACACAAGAATGGTGTTGCTGAGGGAAATGGCACTCCACATGTGTACTCCGCAGAGGCGTTCTTATTTAAACATCAATCTGCCAGCCAGTTTTGGAAGATCCAGCAACACTGTTATGAATGGACAATGTGAATCCAAGGTGGGTCACCGTATGATCCCAGACTTGACCTGATGTCCAGCAGGTCCTAGTTTCAGTGCACATTCCATAGGCATACAGCTTAAGCAAGTAGTTACTGTTTAGTTTACTGCCTATAACATGTTTATCAAGTATAGGGCATAATAATAGCCAGCCATCTCAGTCGTCCCTATGCACTATTTTTACGAGTTTGTGAAGGAGGGTAGTCTGTAGGCTCCCTTTGTGTTCTCTACTGCCCAGGATAGCAGTATGCTGACTTAGCATACTTTTACTAAGTACGACTTCACTGGGCATTCATTTGGGGAATTTTGCATCAACAAGCCATTTTAAAAAGAAATTCTAGGCTTTCAAAGTTCAATAAATGAAAGGCTTTTGCCATTATCTATCAGTCATGATTCAAAAAGTTGGTTAGGAATGGTAACTTACATGTACAAAACAAGATCTGAGTCAGGGAGTTGAGTGATAAACACAGGAGAACCTGACTGGATTAGAGCAGAAACCAAAGTGCATTGCTTTCCCACCAATCACACCTCTGACATAACCTTTATCAAGATAGACTACGGAGTGTGGTAAAGTGATAAAAATCTTCCAAACAACAATGATCTTCCAAAGAATTTTAGAAAAATCATTTGTCTTTATTCATTGGTGTCTTTGACCATCCCCTATATTATGAGAATTAATATAATTATAGGTCACTCAACTTTTTGAGTTGCAGGAGAAACCCTGTGACCCTTTGAGTCCAAACAACTGAGAAATGGGAAGAGTCCATCATGTGTTTGATATCAGTAAAAATAACTTCAGTTGTTATGGCAACACTTTATCGAAAAGACAGCGTTTGACAGGAATAACTGAGTAACAGTGTCATCATTGCCACATTAAAACAAATCCAAAATGACTGTTCCTATTTGAACTGTGAAGATTGAACAGGAGTAAAAACCACAGCTTTATGAATAAAATCAATATGAATGATCGAAACAGAGAACCCAGAAGGCAAATGTGTAAATATCAGGAAGACACCTCAAATAAACAAAACCATCAGTAGGAACATCTTTATAAAAGCAAACAAACGAACGCGTGCCCTTTAAGACACGGGGCACTAGGGCTTATATTCGTGACTCCTATGCTGTCCATTTAATTGTTGTAAATACTTTTCCTTACTTTGTTCTAGAATCATAGTTTACAAGATTTTTACATTTACTGTTGTGATAAGTTAAGAACATCTCTTCAACTCTTACAAGAAAACAAAAGGAGAAGCTCTGTATATACACTGTATATAGTATGAAAAATGGGTGCATTTTTATTTTATCATATTGTGAAAGTAGTCAAAATAAAATATATGGTCAGAGGCAGAACTTTTAGAAGGGCTGACTGAAAAACCAAGTCACTTTCTTTCAGGCCCCTCATAAAATTACAAGTAAAAACCCAAATCCACTTTGTACAGTATGAAGATAACACATCCACATGTAGAGCCAGGTGTCCAAACATCAGTTCTGGTAGTCAGCAAACTAGTCCTTTGACTGGACTTGGCCTAGGGAATATTTCTATATGGCCCTGAGCTAAGAATGGTGTTTTTATTTCTAAAAGGATTAACAAAACAAAGAACCATATGTGGCTCCAGTGTCAGATGGCGCTGCCCGGCTCTCCACAGGAAGTGTCTGCAAACTACAGAACCACACAGGTGCTCAGTCTGCACAGGGCAACTGTAAGGCCAAGGTCATGCGCATCTGCTGCCTCAAGAGCATCTTCATGTTTGGAAAACAGACCTTCTGATGTAATTTTCCAGATTCTTTTTTCTTAAATTTTTTTTCTTCAACATCATCAAAGCTCATCCTGTATTAATATAAAGGTGATTAAGAGAAAGGTATTACAAGCTAATCAATATCTTACTTTCTTTCAAATACTCTTACTTTCAAATGTTCTTACTGAATGGAGTATCACACAAAATACTCCCTGCTTAATTAACAATGGAAATGTCATAGTTCTCACCTGCATGTAGGTATGGTAACTAGTGTGTCATATTCCCTAAATGTTAACACTGTCAACTTGATGGAATCTAGAATGACCTGGAGAGAAACTTCGGCAAATGCCATGGGGGTTATCACAATTACATGATTGAGATGGGGAGACCTTCTACCATGACAGTGTTATTTCCTATCAGGGACGCTGGACCGTGTAAGATGGGGAAGGGCACTGAACAGCAGCATGCATTCATCACTGTTTCCTGACTGGGTGTGATGTGACCAGTTGTTCCAAGCTCCTGCACACATGACTCCCCGCCAGGGTGGATGTGTCAGTGAACTGGGAGGCAGAATCACTTTTTTTTTTAAAAAAAAAACCTAAGTTGCTTCTGTCAGAGTATTTTATCACAGCAACAGCAAAGAAACTAAGATATTAAGTGATATCTGGTATAGTCTTTATCTTAATTTCAGTTATGGTATTTTGGTTTATGAGGAGTAATGCATTTAAAAATATTAAAGTAACCAAATCATTAGAAGAACATGTTTACTCTAGACATCTCCTCTGCCCTTTAGATGGGGATAACATGATCGTGATACCACATTAGTCTTTCTCCACCTAGGTCTCCAGTGAAATGCCACACAGAACTTGTCCACAAAGCCTGACCCTCTCCAGAGGCTGTGCCTGTCTCTTCCTCTTCGGCATTGGATGAGAGAGACGATATTAAATCCTACTCAGAGCACCCAGCACTCACTCGTCTGCTTCTCAATATGCCCAGAACAGACTCAAAGGGGACCAAACCAATCGGCTAGAGGAGAGCCCAGGCAGGACTGCAGTGCTGATGGGAAGTCACAAATTTAGGAGCAAGGGATTATGGTCTAATACATATTCCTCCTATACCAAGCACAAAAAAACCTTTGCTATCTAAAATATGCTGAAGTTCTAGAATATTCACTGCTAATAATTCAATATTTTGTTTACACTAAACAACATTTAAATGGCCATAGCCATATCACTATTTTTAATAACATTACTGTATAATTTTCTTTTTAAAAAATTATTTTGGAGACAGGACCTTATTACTTAGTCACTGGCCTGGAACTTATGTAGACCAGGCTGGCCTCAAACTCAGAGATTTGCCTGTCTCTGCCTCCTAAATGCTGGGATTAAAGGTGTGCACCATGAAGTCCAGCTTGTGTATTTCACATACTCAAAAATGAAAGTGCAGTGGTATACTCAAGAGTTATACCACTATTTTCAGACATTTTTCTGCACTTCAAAGCCAAACTCATAGTAAGCCATTATAATTTCTATCCTCACACTGCCCTGCCAACCACTAACCTGCTTCTTAAACATTCCACACATACAGAACCATACAATATGTGGCCCTTTGTGACTGGCTTTTTTCAACTAAGCAGGTTTTCAAAATTACCATGTAGCATGGATACATTCTTCACTTTTTAGGTTGACAAGACTCTACTACATAGGTATGCCACATTTTGCTTATCTACTCTGTTTGTGGGTGACTTGTCTTTCCCTGTTTCTGTGTATGAGCGATGTTGCTATGTACATTGGAGGCCAAGTTTTTATGGAAGAAACTTGATCATTTTCTTGTTAAATGGTGAGTATACAAATTTCCAAGCATTTCATTATCTAGAGGACATAATCTTGGCTGTCATATTTCTCCAAAGTGGAAATGTTTTTGAATGTTCACTTCTTCATGGAATGCATACTAAGAATACCCTTGGCAACCCGCCAGTCACTAGTAGGCCTGGCTCTTACCTTATTTCTCTTTCCTTGGCTTTGGAGAGTTTCCAATTTTCCATAAATTAAGGCAGCAATAGTTTTTGCATCTCTGGAATTTATTTGCTCTTCCCAAATACTTTTCTAAAATTAAAAACACTCATGTTATCTTTTAAGTACTTAAATCAAAACATGACATTTCCACACAAGAAGCTTGCTTTCTTATGCCCGCAAGTTCTTTTTTTCCAAAGCTGTTTGAAATTCGAGTTTCTTCACGTTCATAATGCCGCAAAAGCAGTAACCCGGACTCAAAGGCCGGTATTAGGAGCAGTGTTATGGGAGCACAAAGTGATTTCTAGGAAAAAGGATTTTTATTTGGGGGTGTACATACAGAAGAGACTGAGCTGGGGAGGCAGAGCACTGCTTAGCCTTCGGCACCCAGAAGAAAAACAACAGGGACAAGTCTTCCATCAAGCTCCCATCCTACTTCTTTCAGGAGTTTCTCACAAATAACTGAGTAGACAAACATGTCTTCATTTGTCTTCTGAAGGATCAATGTTCTTGCTAACAGATCATGGGTCTGTTAAAACCATCTTACTACCTGGGAAGACCCTTATGTGGTTTCAGTTAACGCTTTTGCCAGCTGTAAGATGCAACCTTTGAGCCAGTGATCACAGCCCTTGGTTTGTTGAGCTTTTGGTTAGAGCTTTGGTTTGACTGAAAACCTAACACAGCTAGGCACTGTGGTACATGTCTTCAATGCCAATACTCAGAGGCAGGTGGATACCTGCGAGTCCAATGGCAACCTGGTCTACAAAGCAAGTTATCTACACAAAATCAAATCAAACTGACTAAAAAAAAAAAAAAAAAAAAAAAAAAGAAAAAAAAAAAAAAAAGTGCACATTGGTAATGGTGCCCCCAAACAATTATAACCAAGCAAAGAACCCTACTTGTAATCTAAATCCTTAGTATTCCTCAAAAAAGGCTTGGTTACTAAGTTATTTCAAAAGCATTATAAAATAATTTCCTTAAATTTTTTTTCTTGGAAGGGAACATTTAAAAAACAAGCATTGTATTAAAAAGTAGGAAATATAGAACTTTACAGAATATTACTTTGAATTCGACAACACATATTAATGTTTGGTTAGGTTTCTTTCTATTCAGAGAGCACAAAGTCTGTAAGGCAACTGACAGCAAGCAGACTTCTGAGAAAACCCTTTAAGATCCCTCCACACACCACAAAAGAAGATGTTTCAATCAGACGTATTTTAAAAGATGAAGGGACAAACTAGAGAACTAGAAACCGCATAATGTTTGGCATTTGGCCTGCTAAAGGAAGGCATGGAGCAGAAGCCTGTACATACCTTTGTTCTTTCATACTGGTAAAATTTAACACTTGGGTAGGCTTTGATACCAGCTTTCTGGCATGTTTGGGGGTAAGCCTGGCAGTCCACTTTCCCAGCTTTCACTTTTCCTTTAATCATCTGAAAAACAACAAAAAAAATCCACAGATCTTGCCATTTTATCTTTGGGATAAACTATTTTGGCAATTACATAGCCAACATAATATATTTCAGATCTTTACGTATTTAAGGACTTGTTACATTTAAAACCCAGTTTAATTCTTCCAATTGAAATGAGATCATTTCTACTTTTCCCAAGCCCTTTAAGCTTCCCACTAGCTACCATCTGTCTGATATAAACAGTCTTTGCTCAGGAGCACCTTGAGGCTTTAACTCTGACCCCTACCTCCTCCCAGCCACCCCACTTAGCCCACCACAACCAAGCATCTGTCTTTAATACTAACTGGCATTCTTTGTCTAGTGCACGGCTGACCAGAGCATCTAAACTGCCCAGGTCAGATTTCACTCTTTCTGTATTGTCAAGGTCAACTCTTAATGTTTTCCATGCCTTGCAGATGATCACAAAAGGGGTTTTATCTCATTACCAGCATGCATACTGCCATCTCATCCCTCCAGCATCATCTTTGTGTGACGTACTCTTAACTGATCTCCACTGTTATCATTCCCATCAGCTTTAAGGCCATAGCGATCTCTCCTTGATCCAACCAACAGACACTTTCTGGACTTCTCCATTTTCTTCATGTGTGCTTTAAGCCACTGCCTATGCCTGCCTCCTGTCTTTCCTGACTTTACTTACAGTTCCCCAGCCCCACCAAGCACAGTGATCTCATTCTTTACCCTGAGGTTAGTACATGGCACCAGAGCCCCATCTTTGGGTATTTTCACTATCGACAGTCTCTCAGTGAAATCTTACATAGTCCTATGCTGATGAATCTTCCCTTGATTTGGTAATCTACTCTACTGGACTGCTCTTTGTGAATGCCTCCAATCACCTCAAACACAAAGTATCTGCAATTAATTTTTTCCCTTTGTGCTAGCCGTACCCTCGGTTCCTTTCACTTCATCTGTCTACCACAAACAAAGTTCTGCTTGTCCTCACAGCTTTCATTTATGTCCCTTCTTCCCATCACCACTCTCCTATATGATTTGTGTTACCCTTTCCAGCTCTGGGACAATCAAAGTGTCTTTGCTGTCTCTGGTTTGAGCTTGTGGCTAATGGAATCAACACAAGCAGGGAGACAAACTTTGGTTAGCAGTAGGACAACAATGTGTACACACATACTTGTGGACACTCGTAGTTTGTCATTAAATGCTTTTAATACTAGCACTTGGGAGGCAAAGGCAGGCAGACCTCTGAGTTTGAAGCTAGCCTAGTCTACATAGGGAATTCCAGGTCAGCCAGCATTATAAAGAGAAACCTGTCTCAAGAAAGACAGATTATAGTTATAGGAACAGATTTCTCTTTTTAAATTGAGAAATAAATTTCAAGAACTAAGTTAAGAGTTAGTTTACAATGTTTTAAGCAATTACTAAAACATGTATGTGAGTAAAATTTATTTATTTATCTAACTAGATAACAATACTTACTCTAGCCAAGAGTTCAAACTCTGGAGCGAAGTTCTGGCAAGGTCCACACCAAGGAGCATAGAAATCAACCACCCAGTGAGTCTTCCCTTCTAAAACCTTCTCGTTGAAAGTCTGAGGTGTTAGATCTATGGATGCTTGGGGTAAAAATCTGCAGTAAGGGGATCAAACAGCATTTCTCATTATATAAAAGCAAGGCAAGAATTCTATGGCAATACCACGAACATTCCTAAGTTAAAAATGGTTCAAAGGATAGTGATGGAATAAAGCTTGGTTCCACCATCATAAATGTTATCCTTCCCAAATATTTTAAATACCACAATCCTAACTCACAGAAAACTAGGCACATGAGAAGACAAACAGCTTTGAGTCAGTGTTAGTCAAGAATATGCATAATTACTCACCCAAGACCCCAGCTTCTCAGAGAATAAGCATCCCTATTCCAGCCATTGTAACTACTAAAAGAAGAAAAAAAATATTAAGTTGTAAACAGTATTTGCTATTACTGGATATGGTCAAGAAACTATCTTACTGTAGCAATTAAAAAAAAAAAGTCTTGACTGATTAAAGTCACCTAGTATCTCTTTCCACAAAGTAAATTAAGAGTTACATGACTTCAAATATATTTTTCATGAGTCTTTGTATCCCCCTGCCCCCAAGTGGCTGGGAATTAACCCAGGACTGTACATGCTTTTGTGATTTCTCCATAGCTGATTCTTTCACTTTTCAAAGAGAAACCCATGGCTCAATTTTCACTTCTTAATCAAGAATGTGTTTTTTTTAAATATATCTACGTAGTATAGAATAGGTGGACACTAGGGCAGTCCTGGGTTCAAGTCTCCGACTCGAACCCTAGCAGATGAGCTACGGAGTCTGATGTGGCAGTCCCTTCTCTGCAGTAGGAGGGTACAAGCCCTCCCCACCCAGTGTAAGAGTAGTGTAAACGATGCAGGACAGGGCTGGACGGAGCTGGGCCAGGAAGACTTAATAAACACGAGTTCCTCCTCTCAGCTTCCTGACTAGAACTTAACTAGTCTTATTGTTCAGTTTCCTCATCATCTTCTGAGGGCTCATCTACTGGTGACCTCCCAGTACATGTATGTTAGGCTAACTTCAATGTTAATTGTACAACCAAGGGATTATAATAGATGTCTTCAAATTTGAGAGAATACTTACTGATACTGATAAGCTTTATTTGACTTTTGGGGATAAAATCTTATCTCAGGGTATCTTTGAACATTTTCTTGGGTACAAAAAGAATGATACTGTTGGCAGTCCACACTGCCTACATTGATCAGTCCAGTTAATGTCTATAAAAGAACAAAAGTCAACAGATGGGTCAATGATTGAAATAAAATTATCTCTATAACTTTAAAGTGAAAAAAAAAAAGATGTATATGAGTGTTTTGCCTGCACTTGCGCACCATGTGTGTGCACTGCTCTTGGAGGTTAGGAGAGGGCATTGCAACCCTGGATCTGGGACTGAAGATGGGCCAGAGTGTCGGCTCCTAACTGCCGAGCCACTCTACAGCCTCAGGACAAGGTTTCTCTGTGTTAAACAGTCACTGGAAAATGAGTCTTTTACTGTTCATCACTGTCACAGGAACAACGGGGAAAGATTAAAATATGCCATTTAAACTAATGACTTTGAATGTTATAATTCTGTAATTAAGAACTCCCCACAGTTATTGCAGATGAAATAACTGGCTCATTTACCATGTGGGAAAAGACATTTAAAAAAATTCAATGTTAGTAACCAAAATATAATCCAGTATTTTTTAAAAAAATTTTTTTTTCTAATGGAGGTAGTAAGTATTATCTCTGACTCACATTCAAAATTTTTATTAGAAGAGCATAAAAATACATAATCTTAAATGTTAAGATACAATAACTCACTTTAACTCCTGAGTTTATTTTTATCTGAGGTATAAATATGAACTATTGATTTCATTTTCCATTCTAGTATTTAAATAATTTGCTTTCATTCAGTATTTTATAACACGGTTTGTTTATAGGAAATTGATATAATGTTTTACTGTTTGAGGTTATTTTCTGTTTTTTTTTTTTTTTTTTTTTAATTAAGTTTTTGTTTATTATGGAGACAGAGCTGGGAGCTTTGTGGCCCAGGAAAATCTTGGATTCCTGATCCTCCTGTCTCAGCCTTCTAAATGCTAGCATTATCACTATGTACCACCACACCTACTGACTAGGGCCGGCTATTTTTATAACCCATATTATTATGAGGAAACAGTTATCTGCAAGCTCTAAAAAGAAAATGACAGAAAAATTTAAACAGAAAATTAAGATGACCTCAGGGCTAACCCTGGCAGTATTTTGGTCAGAAGTGTATTAGATGGTTCACTTAGTGGGCAGGGACAGTGGTGTGGTCTTAACAATTCAATCAGGTCTGTATAAATTACCCAGTTACAGGCTTATCAGGTTGGTTTCAAAAGAACTGTTACCCCAGCATTTCAGCAGTATAACATCAGACTGTGCTACTATACCCGGGCCATTCGTTTCCACTCTGGCATTAAGACCTGACAGGGATGACACCACGGAGAATAGAAATCAACCATCCAGACTTCGTCATGCTTTCTCTGTTTAACTAGTTCATTGAAGGTAGTGGGCGTAAGAGAGACCACTGAAGGGTTTCTGAGATCCTAAAAAAGAAAAACCAAAACACTATTATTATATATACCAAGTTTTTCATGTATTTCTGGCAAGTTACCAGGGTATGTCATTTAGAAAGTTCCTATTTTAGAGAAATCAAAAGACACTTAAGGATATTTAAAAGAAATCTATCATGAATTGCTTTAAAAAGTGAATTACCAAATGTACCAACTTTGGATTCTGCCAGTCAGTTTTCTTAAAAGATATATTTTCACATTAGCATTGAAATCACTGTAAGCTGGGAAAAGGGGTATCTTGGAGACTATCGGTAGATCATATAATCAAGTTCTAGGAATAATCCAGATACCTACATAAGCCACACATATCTGTTATGCTATCAGGAACAGAATGTTTAGGAATAACCATTTAATTATTAACCCAAAGCCTACTACTATTATTTTTGATATTTAAATAGAGAAGCTATACACCTTTCTTGAGATTGTATATTCCAAATGCAGTTTTAACAGAGCCTCAGCCTATATCATACTAACTAAAACATTAGTTTCACTAAGACAGCAATCAAAACACAACACAACATATTACTTTGGAGGAAGACAGAGGAATAAGATGGAGTAGAATGGACACTAGTAGACAACAATAAGCTACAAGTTTTCAGTTCTCCGGAAGCCCCTGTAATGATTCTCGTCAAAGCTGAATGAAAACCAAGGAGATGTGTGGATGCAGGCAATCTGTGCTAACAATGCAAAAGCTTTGTGCAGGATGCCTGGCCTTGATGCTGTGGATGAGAAAACATTCTTCTGCATTGAGAGAAAACAGGCAAAAGGGTGACAGGCTTCATGGGAAATTACAATTCCACATATTCAATAGCAATGTCTCCCATGTACAAGACACCTTAGTAGGTTTAAATTAAAAAAAGAGAAGGCTTAAATTAAAACAAATTCTTTTCAGAAAACAATCTTCTGGCATAAAAAGAGTAAGTCCCAATACAGTCACCCAAAGTATACATATAAACAGAAAGATTTCTAGCCGTAGTCTCTAATTAAAATACCTCTATGAACTCCAAGATTTGTTCCGCAGAGTGGTGTCCTTCATACTCATGTATACTGGACTGGTTGAATACCACTGTTGTTGGATAAGCTTGAATGTTATACTGCAAGGAAGAAGACATTCCTATATCTTACCATTTGTTTCAATTCTGTACAAATTTTTTAGATATATTTATTTTTTATTTTATGTGTATGGGTGTTTTGTGGGAATGTATGTATATACACTGTGTGCTTCTTGGTGCTTGAGGAGGTCAGAAGGGGGTGTCTGATCCCTTGGAACTGGACTTACAGATTGCTGTTTCCACCATGAGGGTGCAGGGAACAGAACCTGGGTCCTCTGTAAGAGCAAAGGTGCTCTTAACTGCTGAGCCATATCTCCAGCCCCTTTAACAAGACTAAAACTCTACTATCTTCTTGGTGACTGAAGAATGCTGGGTTGGACAAGCTTAACAAAGACAATGCATTACAGCTTGTGTAATGAATAGCCAATCTTTATCTATTAAGGTCCAATGGCACCAAAGCATGGGAAGGGAGCCAGAGTAACTGGTTAGTATGCACTTCATCTTTTTGCTCTCTTCAAACTAGGAGCGAGAGCCAGTGACACAGCAGTCACTTTTTCTAATGACAGTACTGTAGTCATCCTAGAGGGTGATGAGCAGCAACATAAAATAGCAAGAATAAATGAACATGACTATATTTTAAAGAACTAAGAGCCATGCTCTAAGAAAATGGTCACTTTTATTCTTTACTCAAGACAGTTCTCATAGCATAAATGTTTCATTCCCTCTTCACAGTTAACATGGGCACCAGCCCTGGGAGCATTTTGTAGTTTTTAAAGTTACAAAGTGATTTCCCTGTCTATGGATGTGTGATCTGCTGTAGCTGATCTATGGGTCTTAAAGTTGATAAGAACTAATTATTAAATAGAAAATTTTAAGATTCATAATTCTAGAGAACTTAGCAACATTATAAGGTTTTGCAAATGTGTGAATTCAAAGCATTTATTAGGTTAAGAGACTAGCTAAAACTTTACAAGTTCTTATTGTCTGCTGAGCTCTAGCCACACACAATCTCATTCATCTCTCAGGACAATTTTGCTCAGTAGTCAACATTACAAAGCCTACTTTACGTACCAGGCCACTGAGTATTGAGGACTAAGTGACTTTTATGTCAGGTGAATGTGATGCTAGCTTTTTTTTTTTTTTTTTTTTTTTTTTTGAGACAGGGTTTTTCTGTGTAGCCTTGCGCCTTTCCTGGATCTCGCTGCCTAGACCAGGCTGGCC